CAGTGCACAAATTTTTGTGCACCGGGCCTCTAGTTAATTTATATATAGGAAAGGGCAATGAAGTCTGATACTTTAGTGAAAGATATGGGAATAATGGAATTGATTTGTAAGTTATAGTGCGTTTACATGGAACCTGTGTAGACTTATGAAATATTTATGAAAGGTCATCTATCCCAAATTATGCTCTGATACATGGCATTGTATTTGGATTTTGAATTGGTATATGCATTTGGTGTGTCTGTGTATTTGGTTTTAGTGCGTTGTTTTATCTTTAAAATGGGAACACCAAAACCAGGATACTTTTAGTAAAAGCATTTTACTAAATAAGCTTTTTAGAAGTACCTCTGTTTTTAGAGTAGAATGTGTGAACATGAACTGACATACTTAGAAATGTATTTTCCTATTATATGTGTACTTCATTTTCCAGAATAAGTAAGACCAGTATTACATTGGAATAGAGATGGTTTGCATAATTTGAAAATAACCCTGTGGGCAACCACTGTGGTTAAAATATACTCTTATTTGATTTATACCATTTAAAGTTCAAAAATATGTTTGCAATAGAGAAATAATACAGAAGGAAAATAAATTACTGTAGCTTATAGTCCATTTCTCTTCATATTTTACATTTCACTCATTTATCTTCCAAATATATGCATTGAAATAATCACTGCTGATATTATGACTTAAATTTTAAATAGAAACTAAGCCTTTTCTATGTTGCTATGAATCTTAGAGCATTTTTAATGTTATGAAAAATTTTTGAAAGAGGCGTGAATTAAGACTGCGCTGGTCTTCAGCATAGCTTAATGGGTAGAAGACAGTTTTAGTAGTTAGGCACTGCTATAGGTGCTATATTAATCTAAATATGGTGGCGAGGGTTTAGTGTAGATCATTTATAACAGTGGGCTTTGTCATAATGTGATTTAAAGATTTGTGCAAGGTACTACTTGTTAATTATCTCCTAAGGAAAATTTTTCCTGTAACCATATAAAATTACCATTAAAGAAAATTTGTTATCCATATGTTAAAAATAAAGGCTAGCTATCTTAGCCATCACCTTTTTCTTAAAACTTATAATCCCATTGGATCTTTTGTTGTTATTATTAGTAGTCAGATCTGTTCTTTTTTTGTGAGAATTAACAAACACATGGGAATACAGTTTACTTCTCTGGGTACACAGGTTCTATTTACATAGACTAGTATCTTTCAGTGAATACTTAATATATCTCCAATTCCTTCTCAGGCCTCAGCAAGCTTAATTTCCCCATACTTTTGTAAATACAATAAGATACATTCTTGAAGCACAAATGTTTTTGCTATGTATAAGTGTTCATTACTTCCAAGGTGAATATATTTTATATAAAAAATTGTGGATAGTAAATATTTATTTCAAAATCCTTTGAAAGGATGAAGTAACTGAATTTTTAAAAATCAAATAAATCATTTAATTATAATCAATATACCATTTTAAATACTTTTCAGTGTCCTTTTCAGATTTGTTTTTTCCCCCATAAATGTTTAGAAAACATTAATATTCTCTCTCTATCCCCCCAACCCCCCCCCCTTTTCCTATCTAGCCACTACCAGCCTGCTTGCAGCACTCTACAGTTTCATCTGTAGCATTGTGGCAGTGGCCCTACTGTATGGGTTGTGTTATGGCGCTTTAAAGGTAAGAAATATGTTGTAAGTGTGTTTTGTCTTTAAGGTTATTTTTCTATATTAAGAATGTTTTCAGTGGATTAATGATTTTTTTCCCCAGTGCACTTTAGCATGAATTTCCATGATCATTTTGAACATTACTCTCATTTACTTAGAAATCCATTTCATAATTAACCCTTATTAAAAGAAAATCCTTTTCTATGCAATAATTAGAGGTTATTATTAGAAACAGATTATTCAAACGTAGACTAATCTGAGATAGAGGTGGACATGGTAATAACAGAATATGAAGTTAATTTTAGATTTCTAGTTAAGGATATATGCAACTACCGTTCATATTAAGACTTCGTAAAACTTAGGAGAACAGGGTCAAAGACTGCAATTTAAGATACATTCTAGCAAATTAATGCACTGAAATTTATTGTTATTATTGGTTTAGAAGGATCTGGATGAGCCTTATTAGCTCCATTTTTAAAAGATTTTCACCAAATTGTAAATTAAAAAATTTAAATTTCTAATAAACCACCCTTAAGCCGTGGTATTATTATTATTTTTTTATGATTAGTGCAAGACAATCAGAGAATAATAGCGTTGAAAGGACTGTGAAAAGTGACTCACAGCATTTTTCCTTGCTTCTTTTCTTCAGTATCCTTTATGGCAGGGGTGGAGAACATCTGGCCCACGGGCTGTATAAGGCCTGTGAAATCATTTGTTCTGGCCCTGCCAAGGCATTAGGGGTGAGTTAATGAAATGTTTAGCAGGTTTATTTTTAAGTTGATAATTTTGTATGGCCCGCAAATGATGTTATAAATATCCATATGGTGGCCCTTGGCAAAAAAAGGTTCCCCACCCCTGATTTATGGAATGCTTAATGCGTACCCAGTGCTATGCCAAACACCATTTCCTGCTTATGAGTGGCTTATATGTTGCTGTGATTAAAAAGTCAACAAACACTCTCATTAGAGGGTGATGAAGGCTATGAAAACAGAGTCTTATGGGCATAGTGATTATTGCCTTATTCAGCCTAAAGGGATTAAAGATACTTTTCCAAGGGTGCTTTTTAACCAAAATTTGAAGGACAAATAGAAATGAGTTAATTGAAACGAAGGATGAAGAGCCATGGAGTTGGAGAGAAAGTGTGTTGTGTATAGGAAACTGAGTAATTTGGACTTGCTTGAGGTTTGGGAACGTGAGGAAAGATGGCCTTCAGTCAGGCTGGAAAGGTAAGGGAATGGTTAGCTTGTGAAATATCTCTTATCCTAAACGTGTTGGGGTGGAAATGGAAGACCATCAACATTTTTGAGGTATGGCAAGGAAATGATCAACATTGTATTTTAGGAAGATTACTTAGTCCCCAGTGTGAAGGAGATGGAAATAGAAGCAGGAAGGATCAGCAGTAGGGGGACCCTTGTGTTGCAATCTTGAAATTATGAGGGACTTAATTGATAGTGATTGGGGACTCTGGATAAGAAGAACCAGAATAGGTTCCCAATGACTTTTGTGTAGGGTCTGGCTTACACAGCCAGTTAGGTAGTGATACTTAATGCACAAAATTAGAAACCTTGGCATTTAGTGAGGAAGGTGGTGGTTTAAATTTGGACACGTTTATTTGTTGACATTTAGGGGGTATCCAGAGATACATAGTAGAAAGTTATATGTAGAGGGGTTTGAGGTAGTGATTAGTAGATTTGGAATTCATCAACACAATTAAATCAAGAGTAAGAAAAAGACTACTGATATGGACTGACAAGAGAAAATGGGTGAGGATAGATCCCTGGGAAATGCCAATTTTGAGCATTGGAGATTTATTGAACTTGCCAGTAAATAGAATAGTGGTCATTTGGCTGAAGAAGCTAGATTAATATAAATTTAGGTATGAATGGATATTAAGCAGATGTATTCTACTCTTTGTAGACTATAGTTGGGAAACTTGTGCATATGCTAGGGGTTGTTTTCTGGTTTTTGATTTTTAAAAAGATCTGAAACTTAATTGCATTTAAAAGGGAAAGGGGAATAGTCAAGTAGGGAGGGCGATATTTGATGGAGCTAAAGGAAGGAACTGGAGACACTTGATCCGAATCCACACTTCTTCCATGTGCACCTGTAAAGATTCCTAGTACAGAGGTTTTAGATCTGTTTTGAGTCATATTTTGTTAAGTTAGTCATTATTTGGCAGTTGCAGTTAAAAAGTGTAAGTTTTTTTATGCCTAGTTTACAAAACCCTGTTTGTTTAGCAGAAGAGCAGCAGTTGTAAAATTGCCAGCTAAGAACACTGTGTCCTCAGGTAGGTAGGAGGATAAGTTTTTGCCTTCTTTCTTACAGATGGCTTTTGCATTAGACTATTTTAGTGTTATATGTCACCCATTATAATAAAACTAATCTGCAGATTTAGTTATATACATGAACAAAGATTATGTGCAAGGATTTTATTAGAGCAGTGTTTGTAACAGCAAAAAGTTGGAAATAACTAATATTTGTTATTTGTGAATGGTTAAATATAGTATAGCCATACAATGGAATACTATACAATCATAAAAAAGAATAAAACAGATTGTTGTATGCTAATATGGAATGATTTCCAAGAGATACTATTTATTTGTTTTCAAGCTTTATTGAAGTATAATCTATATACAGTGGGGCCTTGACTTACGAGTTTAATTCGTTCCGAGACCGAGCTCGTTAAGGAGCTCGTTAATTCAAATTACTCTATCAACTCAATGCAAAAAAATCGGCCGAGAGACAGCTGGTATCTCAAAAAACTCGTTAGTTGGGACACTCGTAAGTCAAGGCCCCACTGTATATAAAAGCCTAAGTGACTGTTATGACCAAACGACCAGAATGACTGGAATGACGGGTCAACCAGTCACTATGACACACTCAACACAGGGGCTGCCCCCTTGTGGTCAGTGTGCTCCCACAGCCAACCTCCTCCGGTCCCTCCCCGCATCTGGCAGGCCCCGTCTGGCAGCCAGCAGGCCCTGGCTGGCAGCTGCAGACTCTGGCTGGCCCGGTCCCAATCAGGACTGGGCAAGATGGCCCCAGTAGACCCTGATCACCGGCCAGGCCTAGGGGCTCCAACTGTGCACAGATTTTGTGCACCGGGACTCTAGTTGATAAATAAAATTGTAAGGTATTTAAAGTGTACAACATGATGATTTTATATGTGTATATATTATGAAAAGATTTCCCTCATCCATTTAATTCAGCCATCACCTCACATATCTACCTTTTTTTGTGTGATAACATTTAAGTTCTACTCGCTTAGCAAATTTCTGTTATGTAATACAGTGTTATCAATTATAGTCATCATATTCTGTATTAGATCCTTAGACCTTATTCATCTTATAACTAACAACGTTTGTACTCTTTTACTAACCTCTCCCTATTTCCCCCATCTCCCAGTCCCTGGAAACCACTTTTCTATTCTCTGTTTCTATGAGTTCAACTTTTTTTTTAAAGATTCCACATATAAATGATACTATACAGTACTATTTGTCTTTCTCTCTCTGGCTCAATGCCCTCCAGTTTCATCCATGTTGTTGCAAATGACAGTTGATCCAAATCCACGCTTCTCCTAAGAGCACCTGTAAAGTCTCCTAGTACAGAGGTTTTAAATCTGTTTTGAGTCATGCTTTGTTAAGTGGGTCATTATTTGGAAGTTGCAGTTAAAAAGGCAGTTTAAGGCGGAATAATATTCCATTTTGTGTGTGTGTGTGTGTAACATTTTCTTTCTTCTGTTTTTTTTAAAAGGTAGGCAGTATGCCAAAAAAGGATGTTTCCTTTGTGCTTTTTTTTAAAAAAATTAGTATTATCTACTCTATGCCACGTACCATGCTAGTGGAATCCAGAGATTGCAGTGAGCAGAGCAGACATATCACTTCCACATGTTTGGTTGGCCCTTAAAAGCTAGCCTTTGTGTTACTTATTTCTGAGCATATGCAGTTTATTTGTTCAACACTGAATGCCTGCTCAGTACTTTGGAATATGTAAAGCATATCATAGGAACAAAGGCATCAAGAAAGCAGCACAGCAAATGTTAATGTTTTCGTTGCCTAATGTGATTTCATGTGTTGCCTTTTCCTACTCTGTTGCTATTATAATCAAAAGTTTACTACAGCAAGTTATTTTGTTCTTCAAAATGAGAACATAGTTTACTGTAAGCTTAATTTTACTTTAAATCTGAAAGAGATTGACAGCAGCATGCGTCAGAAGCAAATGTATCATTCCTGGTGTATAAATAGAGCTTTAGTACCAAAAGAAATCTGAAGATAATCTAGCAGCTAGATTCTAGCTCATCTGAAAGTAATAAGTCTACATTTATTGGGAATAAAATGAAATTAATAATATAGTTTAAAAGTTTTTGTTGAATTTAGTTACCTTTCTCTAAAATACTGACATACAGGATTATATGATGTATTGTAAATTAGAAGTATATTATTCTGTCATATTTTCTCCCTTCCCCCCACCCCCCCAACAGGATTCTTGGGATGGCCAGCATATTCCAGTACTTTTCTCTGTTTTCTGTGGTTTGTTAGTGGCAATATCCTATCATCTCAGCCGACAAAGCAGTGATCCATCTGTACTTTTGTAAGTGAAATCAGTTTTTATTGAATTGAAGAAATTTAAATAAATGGGCATTTCTGATTAGTTATGGCATGTTAAATTTTTTTTAGAATATATCATTTGCTAATGATTAAGTATACTTGGATCACTTGGTTTTTTATCTTGAACTTTATTTGCCGCTGGAAGTACTGGTTTTCAGGTTATATATGTATTTTTATATTAATTATTTTCTCTCTCTCTTTTTTAAATATAAAGCTCTTTGATGCAATCTAAGATTTTCCCAAAAACAGAAGAGAAAAATCCAGAAGACCCTCTGTCTGAAGTAAAAGATCCACTGCCTGAAAAACTTAGAAACTCCATTGTAAGTTTAAACTTTTTAAAAGCACTTAAAATACTTGAATTTTAGAGAGTTCATCATATTATATAATGAACACTTTTTGAAGGCCTTTAATAATTGGGGTAAAATGTATAGCTATATGTATTAGTTATACATTTTTGATTGCTTTTATTACAGTTTTAACATGTAAGAAATGCTCATTCCTCAAACTTGGTTTCTACATAGAACAGCATGCCAAACATTTATTTTTAGATCAGGTGAAATTAAGTCATTTCATTGTTTATAGGATTCTTAATCCTGTTCAGTTTAAACTGGCATTTGAAAGATGAATGTTAACATAAATTAGAGTTTGTTGTCAATCGTATTGATAAAAACTGTGTTCTTGTAAATCATTTGCTAGTCTGTTAGTGTGTTTTATTTCTCAAGGGCAGTCTGAAAAGTGTGTGTGTTTATTTTCCTGGTTGAAGGAGAGAACAATAACCTCGACATTATATACATAAGTAAATATAGTAATTAAAATTTTTTTCTAATTTATAATGTTGCCTGCATTCTTTTAGTGTTTATTTGAAAAATGAAATCTATAGATTCATATCTGCCTTCTGGAACAAAACATAAAATTCTTTTTCTAAGTTATTTTAGATTTTTTTCATTTGTGACTTTAAATAATTTATTTATTTATTAAATATACAATGAGAGAGAATCATTGATTGGCTGCCTCCTGCATGCCCCACACTGGGGATCGAGCCCACAACCCAGGCATGTGCCCTTGACCAGAATTGAACCTGGGACCCTTCAGTTCACAGGCTGACACTCTATCCACTGAGCCAAACCAGCTAGGGCTGTGACTGACTTTATATAGGTCTTGAATTAAACACAATGTTTGCCTTCAGCGAACTTGAGCTATTCACATATTCTTTAGGGAACTTCAGAAATAAAAAACTGCCTCAAGCCGAAACCGGTTTGGCTCAGTGGATAGAGCGTCGGCCTGCGGACTGAAAGGTCCCAGGTTCGATTCCGGTCAAGGGCATATACCTTGGTTGCGGGCACATCCCCCGTAGGAGATGTGCAGGAGGCGGCTGATTGATGTTTCTAACTCTCTGCCTCTCTCCCTTCTCTCTGTAAAAAATCAATAAAAAAAAAAATTAAAGATAAATTGCCTCCTTTAAAAAAAAAAAAAAACTGCCTCAAGATATAATTTAAGCAATTTTTTTCTGACTTTAGTTTCCATGTTAGCAAAGGATACTTACCATTAAATGTAATGTAGAATACTTCTGAATCTGCTTCAAAGTGTAAACCTATGCATTAGTCAACAACCAGAGCTATCAAGAGGTTTCTGGTTTTTGCTATAACCACTAAAAGAACCAAAATCCAGTAAGTAAAATAGGACATGTGCATGATTTCAACATTTTAAAAGATTAATGAAAATATAACTTTGTTATCCAAAAGGATATGCCCTATAAATGATACAGTAATTTAAGTATCTCATTTCCTTTTCCCATAAAACTTACAGCCATTGGGGGAAAGTAATACACAGCTTCATTATAAACGACATGATATGTTGTATAGTGTGGTGAGTAAGTTTAATTTCCTTGGTATTGCAATGTCAAACCAAAATAGGAAGAAATTAAGATTTGTGGCTAAGAAATAGCTAGAAGTGCTAAAAAAAAAATAGGATTAGTGAAAAATTGTTTCCTAAACAGTTTGCCAGTTGGGAATGAAGGAAATACTTTAATTTGTTTTTGACAATTCTGTTTTGTTTCACAGAGTGAACGTTTACAATCTGACCTAGTCGTATGCATTGTAATTGGTGTGCTGTATTTCGCTATTCATGTAAGCACAGTGTTTACAGTATTGCAGGTAAGGAATCATTTAGCTCTTTTGGTTGGGAGAAAATAACTTTGTTTGGGTTCATTCCTGATACGATTATGTTTTTTCATAAATATAGATATATATGAATTCCCCAAAGTCTTCTTCCAGTACAGCTGGAAGTCTAGAACCTCATCATCTATCTCTGGTCTAGGTGTGGGTGCAGCTCCTCAGATTTTGTTCCTGCTAATATGTAAGCCATACACTCCTGTTCTCAGTGCTCTTCATTCTTTTGTGCAGATCCCTGGTTCCTCGTGGTGTCAATTAGCTTTTGGTGTAGTTTCACATAGTTTTCTTCACTGGGGTTACATTGACTCTGTGGTCAGTTGTCATCAAATTTGAAAAATTTTGGCCTGTTACTTCCAATGTTTTTTCTGTCCTCCTCTCTCTGCTCTGTTGACTAACTGCCCCCGCCTTCCGCCATCCACCCCTATCTCATGACTTCATCTTAGGCCTCGTGAAGTCCCATGGGTCACTGATGCTCTAGTCCTTTTTTGTGTGTGTATTTATTTTGAATACAGATTAATCCCATCTGGTGTATTTTTCATCTCAGAATTTATAATTTTCATCTTACATTTAAGTCTTTTTCTTTTTTCTTCCCATGCCTCTACTTAATCTTTTGAACATAGGGAATTCAGTTCTTACTCTCTTAATGTCCTTTTATCCTAATCTAACTTCTGTCACTTGTGGGTTGGTTTTGATTACAGTAGGTCCTCGGGTTACGTCAGAGATGTGTTCCTATGGTGCCACGCCACGCGATTTTTGCCGTAAGTCGGAACCCACCTACATAAGCACCTACGTCACTCACATGGAGCACATACACAGCAATAATGAGGTGAAACAGTAAAAAAAAATTTAAAAGAAAGTTAATAATTCCTGACATTGGGGGGGATAAAGACACATTTTTAATATCTTAATCAATAAAGGGAAAAAGCTAAAAAAAAAAAAAATAACTACAGCAAAAGCCTGTTCTCTCTAGCCAAACGGCCAAGAAATCAGCAGCTTAACTAGAGAAAATGTTTTTAATAATAAATTCTACTTCAGCCAAACACTGTAGAAAAACTGTGCCTCAAATTCTGCCCCTCACATCGGAAAAGATTGAAAAAAAGAAGAAAGTTAACAATTCCTGACCTTTACTTGTGATCTACACTAGTAAAAGGCCACAGAGCTGGAGTGAGCAGGAGGCTTGGGTTGACCCTGGCGATGGAGAAAGCCAAGCTCTGCTCAAGGAGGGATTGGGGGGCTGGGTCCCTGGGGGGTGTGGCCAGCCTGAAAACGGCCCTCAGCCCCTCCCCCAGGCTGGCCACACCCCCATGGGATGAGGGCCCCCACTGGGGGGCTTGACCAGTCTGCAAACAGCCATCAGCCTCTCATCCAGGCTGGCCAGGCACCCCAGTGGGGACCCCCACCCTGAAGGGGCTGTGGCCAGCCTGAAACCAGCCCTCAGCCCCTCACCCAGGCTGGCCACCCCCCCATGGGGTGAGGGCCCCGACTGGGGGGCTTGACCAGCCTGCAAACAGCCATCAGCCTCTCATCCAGGCTGGCCAGGCACCCCAGTGGGGACCCCCACCCTGAAGGGGCTGTGGCCAGCCTGAAACCAGCCCTCAGCCCCTCACCCAGGCTGGCCACCCCCCCATGGGGTGAGGGCCCCGACTGGGGGGCTTGACCAGCCTGAAAACAGCCCTCAGCCCCTCACCCAGGCTGGCCACCCCCCCATGGGGTGAGGGCCCCGACTGGGGGGCTTGACCAGCCTGCAAACAGCCATCATCCTCTCACCCAGGCTAGCCAGGCACGCCAGCGGGGACTCCTACCCTGAAGGGGGTGTGGCCAGCCTGAAAACAGCCCTCAGCCCCTCACCCAGGCTGGCCACACCCCCATGGGGTGAGGGC